ATCATGCATTTCCTTAAAATGTGGCCACATTTTAAGAAATTAGTCATTAACCCGAGAGTCGTTTTCAAAATGTATTTTAAAAATAAAAATCACACAATTGATTTTTCCCAAGTGGAAAAATGTTAGATTTATCTAACTTTTTATGGGCTATAATCAATTGTTGTTTAGTTTGTGAAAAACGAGTTAATCGTGATTCTAAAGGGGGTGCATATATAAACTATTTTATTGGTTAAGTGATCTCTTTTAATTAAAGGCTGAGTATCTGAAACCTGATTTGTGTGGAAAAAGTGTGGGATTTAACCTTAGGACCATAATGGGTAGGGACTAGGGTTATATATATATATATTATATGACTAGGTCTCTTTTGTAATCAAAAGAATCAGAAACATAACTGATGGCTCCACAACTTGCCCCATTGAGAATTATGAACAGGAGTGTGAGATACAGAGGAAGATTCGATCATTCATCTTTTTGAGATTCCGAATCATGACTTCAACAAGTAAGTATTGATGTTTTAATTTCATATAATCTATCAATGAATATTTCCGCTTACATGTGTAACTTATTTGATTATTAGAATTTCAAAATCTGTGGGTGGATCAGCCATTGGATTAATCATTGGATCAAGATGGGTGGAGATAATCATCATCCATAAAAATTATATTGAAATTATCTATAAAGCACCGAATTTGATATGGACACTGGACACGACATACACTTATTAGTCTTGATTGATATTACTTTAATACATTTGTAAATGAATTTAAAACAATTAGGGAATGAAAAGTTAAAACTACTCTTACCGTTTTAAGATGTATCTTAAGGCACATCCTTTTTTACACCTTTCAGTGTAAATGGACGAACTATCTTATTTTGCCAAAATTTAATTCGTAGATGTATCTTTTTATAATATAAGGGTGAGTTCGAAGATGTATCTCCATAAATATCCTTAATTTAAAATTCAGGGAGTTTTATGTAGATGCTTCTTCAAAAGCATTTTATTCATTAACCCGCCAGACCCCTCACTCTTCCTCCTCCATTTTCTGAAAAGTCAGTCAAAAAACTCCATTTGAGCTTTTTTGCTGCAAACCATTTCCAAACCCTATTTGAGCAAGTTTCATGAAGCTTTATTCACTTCATTCTACTTCATTTGCTGCATTTCACTCCATTCTTACTCACTTCATTCAAGCTTTTCATCCACAATTCTAATTTGCTAAGTATCTCATTTCATTTTTGTGTGTGTTTTGAATTATGTTTTAGGTAACATAGATTGCTTAAGCTGCATTAGATAGTAGCACAATTAAAATAGGTAACTACTATAGACATGAATTGTCATTTGGTTGGAGGCCAGGGCAGTAATGGGGGTTCTGCCATCAATGAAAATCGCAAGTTCATCTGGAGAGGCATCTTTGGATTATGTCTGAACTGTTTTTAGAGATGTATCTCCAGGTTTATGCCTGATTGCATTTTGGTTGAATTTTGAATTTTGGTGCCATACAAAATTAGGCTCGGCTGTGTGTCCCAACATGCGTCTGTACAACGTGTATCTTAATCGTACAATAGCATATGGCACTATCTTCTACCATACGACGGTCATCACCAGACGCATCATATGGAGCTCATTTTGTTATACTCCAGATGACTGGCATGTGAGTCAGGTCTGATGTATCCGTATTTCCCGAGTGAGTGATATGTTAATTATGGTATTTGTAGATTATTCTGAGACACCCCTCATAGTACGCTTCTTCCACCGTCTACCACAAAGATCTTTATGTGATACTTAAGGATTTCAAGAGTAATTTGGTACAAGATGAGTATTGCATGAGGCCAGCTCCTGTACATTGGACTTATGCCGACAATTACATGAGATGGTTCTATAGTATGTCACATCCTATCATGACACCAAACGCTTCTCGAAGACCACCTAGGTGTTAGACGAAGGCGACTTATCTAGAGGGGGTGAATAGATCTCAAAAAAATTTGCTTCACAAAATAACTATTTTAAAAAGTGTCTAGCGGAAGTGACTTGGATCGATTCGTCTAAATCGAACTGCTTTTAAAAAGCTCTAACATGCGTATATGAAAACTAATCAAAGATAATGATAATCAATTCAATCACTATGTTTCAATTGCAATCCCTTGAAAGCTACTCAACAAGAAATGTTATATCCAATGATAAATGACACAAAAATACTATTGAGACAAATTATCGAACACCTTGTGTGAAATAAATTTTGTTTGGGAATTTGTATAGTTTTGTTGATTTTAAAATCGAAACACAATCTAAAGATTTGTGATCAACTCAACAAAATATTTTTCAAAAGAATTACCAAACGAATTAATCGCACAAATGATAAACTCAACAATTTGCAAACAAAATGTAAAAGAGAGGGAGAGAGAGAGAGTACACAATGATTTGTTTAGGTAGTTCCCCAATCTGCATCGCTACGAGTATGTCTGCCCTCAATTCGAATTTGAATTGTGATAGTGACATTAACCTTACTTTTCAAATGTAGTTTATAAGAGAAATGTAGCAATGCAACCCTACAAACTATGTGTTAGATGTTGATCCTAACACTTTCTCTTCCATTGACCTGAGGTTGATCAAGTCACATAACAATACCAATTTGATTCACCATCTCACGCTACTCATTTGCAAGAACCGCAAATTTTCAAAGCCTTCACTTCATCAAATCCAAATTGCTAATTGTTGTAATCCAAGATTTACTAATTTGATTCACCATCTCACGCTACTCCTTTGGAAGAACCGCATGTCTTCAAATCCTTCACTCAATCGAATCCAAATATGCGTAATCTTGTCCAAAACCTTCAAATTCCCATTTTGATCTTGAAGGAAAATCCCACCTTAGTTTTCTTAATTGAAACCCCCCAAAGATCTCAACCCAATTTATAATACCATAAGCTAAATTGGATGTTATCAACTTTATTCTAGATGACACCCAAACAACGAATGATTATGTATACTTTGTTTGTGTGTATGTATAAAATCAAGATTGAAGATGAAGAAGACTCTTTGTATGTTCCATGTTTCGTTTATGATTTTACCAAAATCATTGAAAAGAAATGATGCATGTATGAGTTATTTATATGTATGCATGTTTTGAAGCAAAAGAAATGTAAAAGAACTGCAAAATTTATGAATTTTTAGAAAAATACATGGCATGAGCCGACCTGTGTAAGTCATGTGCCGACCTGAACAGTTCATGTGTCGACCTGTAGATGCGACACATCTAACAGAGCCTACAAGCTTTAAAAATGCAGTACATGTGCCAACCTGAAAAACGAATGTGTCTGGCACATAGAAATTTTTTTCTTCTACGTGCCGACTTGAAACATATAGGTGTCGGCACATAGATTATTTTTCCCATAAAACTTGTTTTTGATGCATTTTTTATGTATAAACCTTTTCCAAGATATTTTTATGCTTCATAATGCTAAGATACTCATTGAGAATCAGAGGATATCGTCCAATATACATCAACGCTAAAGTATCTTAGTTTTGACATCATGCAAAATACATCTAACAAAAAGTTGCACTCACACTAGGCCATCTAACCGAGAGGTACATGAGGCTAGGGTTGATGACAACCAGGATGTAAGAAGTGTTTGTCAGTGTATTGTGGATATGGCAAGACCGGAAATAAAGACAAGACCTTTTGAGGAAAGCAGTCCCAAGTTGTCCCTCTTAGAAAGTATTATTATTGAGACTCAGAATACCTTGCAGTACAGGCAGAGAAGCCGAGGGGTTAGATGTTAGAAATTGAGTATGATAATCCCGGATAACTTCGAGGAATCATGTTCGTACACTTTCTGAATAAAGTATTTCGATCCTATTATTGCCTGGATTCACGAAATCTTTGTGGGGATAATTCTTGAAGAACAATCTGCTTCTGGCAATAGAGAAAAGATCAGGAATGTAGAGAGAAAGTATGGTTTTGTTAAGTGTTTTAAACTGAGGCCAAATGACTCCTTATATAGGAGATTAATAACAAAAAGGAGAAAAGACACAACTGTTCAGAAACGGTTAAGTCGGTTGGGAAAGGGTTCAACTGTTCAAAAACTTTCGAACAGGTTCAACTGTTCAGAAACTGTTCAAAAATTTTGAACGGGTTCAACTGTTCAAAAATTTCGAACGGGGCGCTGCCCCGCACCCCGCTCGCTGACCTGGCAGCGGAACCCCAGACAGGGGCTTCGCCCCTCGGAACCCCTTTTCAATTATTCACATTCAATTACACGTTGGCTCGACGAGCGTGCACTCCGCACTACCCTAACTCGTTTCCAAGCTTAACGCATAATTGTATCAGCCTACAGTAAATCACATTACTACTAAAATCACCAACATTAGACATACTTAGTATTTTATGTTTGATTGTATTGTTTTTTATACTTTTGAAACAAGTTATGTATGGTCAATACATTTTGATTTTACTTTAATTAATGTGGAACTTTTTTAATGTATGTGTAACATGTTTGAATAAATTAATGTATCCGTTTTTAAATTTATGACATAAAATGACCTAAAATTTAAGTTGATCTAAAAATTTAATTGTTGGGACAATATTAATGTCTTGAAACCATTCAGAAGAGTTTTCAAAGATGACATCTTCAGATATATTCCAATTAATTTTTAAAGATGTATTTTTGGGCTAAATTTTGTTCAAAATAGATAGCTTTCAATTACAAGAAAGATATTGTTTAATTTGTCTCACATCTTTTATAAATTCATTCAGATATCGAACACCTATTCAAACAACGTTAAAGTAAAAAAAAAACTATGTTTTAAAGATATTGTTGAAAATATAATTACTTTTCTCCTTTTCTAAAATTTTCACACACCTCATTTTTAACAATATTTCCATCCTATTTTCCATTTTTATCCTTTTCACCATTCAAATCTTCCAATATTTTCCTTTTTCCTCTCATCATTTTATTTATGCATCCAACACTCCAACTTCTCTTACTCTCATTTCCCCAAAGTTATGTTCCAACATTTCACCACTTGTTTTCCCTTCCTTAACAACACCAAATCTCTCTTCAACAAACCAAAAACCCAATCCAACAACAAACTATGTTCCACCTCCGACATATCAATCTCTTCATTCATCCACAACGAACTCTCCGGCCAATTCCGACAAGTTTTCAAACTCATCGACACGAACAACGACGGAAAGATTTCACCAACAGAACTCAGTGAAGTGCTTTCACGTCTAGGATACAACACCTACACAGCTGCCAAAGAAGCCGAGAGCATGATAAGAGTTTTGGATTTCAATGGAGATGGATTCGTAGATATTGATGAGTTCATGTTTGTAATGAAAGAAGAGAATTATGGCAAAGGAAAAGAGTGTGATCTTGATGAGTACTTAATGGATGCTTTTCTTGTGTTTGATAATGATAAGAATGGATTGATCTCACCTAAGGAATTGAGGAGAGTTTTGGTTAATCTTGGATGTGAGAATTGTAGTTTAAGAGATTGTAAACTTATGATTAAAGGGGTTGATAAAAATGGAGATGGCTTTGTTGATTTTGAAGAGTTTAAATCTATGATGAAAATAGGACTTCAAATTTAGAGCTTGAAAATAGGGTTATGATGTTTTTTTTCTTTCTACTTTGTACATTTTTTACATCCTTTTTATTTATGTTTTTTGTTTTGTTTTAGTCATTGTTAAAAAAAATAGATGGTTCTCAAATACATAATGTAAATGAAAAAAAAATGATAAATTAACCGTGTAAAATTTTTATATTGAATGATACATAACAATTTACTTTTTTTTTTCAATATATATTTTTTTTAAAATTCTATAAAAATTCGAAGTAGCTCTTTCGCCACAATATTTTGCAACAAATTTTATATACATTTCAGTCACTATTATAAAAAAAATATTTTTTATATTCATCGAATAAATTACATATCTGATCACTATTATAGATCAGATATATTAATTATTCAATAAATTTAATTTTCATTGTTATTTATAATAGTGAGTAGAAGGTGTAAATATGATTGATATTTGTGTATTATTTTAGCATATAATAGTCTAAGAAATTTAAAGTAGTGTATTATTTTCGCAGATAATAGTTTAAAAAATTTAAAGTATTTTTTTGCAGAGTTTTCTTAATTCAGTGTAAAAAATTTTAAAGTTTACAATTTTTTGCAAATATATTTTGAGTTGCTTATGTAGATAATAATATTCGTATTTTAACTTAAAAAAAAAACTCTTTTATTTAATTTTTGAATATGTTTCAATATACATCTGAATGTCAATTTTCAGACGAAAATATTTTCGAACTTTTATAGAATTTCTGAGAAATTCTATAAGGTGTAATTATATTGTCAATTTGGTAGCCTGTCTTTGTGCCTTGATAGAGAAACCAAGAGCAATGATAGGTACCATTCATTTAACAATATGCCAATAAAACTTGGGAGTTTAGTGAAAGCCCACAATACCTCAATGACAAACGAAATAGGTTTTTGTTTTTCTTATCATGGGTTGTGTTTTCTTATTTTTCAATGAATGTTTTTCTTTGCATGTTTGTTGTTATTTGTTAACAGTTCATTGTCAATATGTTTTTCTTGCCTCGTGTCAATTGTTTATGCTTGTTATCAAACTTGAGCTTGAGATTTTTGAACGGTAAAGTAATCATAATATTTGGCCTTGTTGGAAAGTTGAGATTATAAAAAACATTATTTGAAGGTGAAACATATCATCTTCAATCGTCATTTACTTTGACCTTAGGCAACATGGAACAGATTACGTGAATTGTACATCTCATATACTTATCGTTTTAGACATTGGAATATAGTTATATATTAATTAGGTTGTTTTGTAATACAACATGTACTAGTAGTGTAAATTAAACATTAAAGTATTGACATATGTGCAAGTGTTTTTCTAAAAGCTGTGTACGCCAACAGTGATTTATGTGGTAATTTTAAATTTGATATGAGTTATTTTTATTTTATTGTAAATGAACATCGATCCTATAAATTTAATTAATTTTAATTAAAAATAAAATAATTATTGTGTTGATAATGACCATTAAGATGAAAAGTTAGTTGTCTACACGATTATTACGTATTATTTAGTTTGATACGATATAAAATATATTTAATTATTTATGTAAATTTGAAATGAATTACTTAATTGTAAAATGAAAATATTATATAAACTCAATTGTATTAAATAACCGTATAACAGTAAAAAAAACACGTGAGATGGAAAAAGAAAAAAATTGAAATAAAGATTTTATCTGTCAAATGAAGTCAATTGTTGATTTAAATAAAATAGACGTTGTTCTGATAATAACCTGCGAGATGGGAAGTTAGTTGTTCTAATATTGACTCGTGAGATGAAAAGTTTGTTGTCTACGCTGCTATTGAGTATTGTGAGTGCTACTTTTCGTTAGTTGTATTTTGAATTATGTCAAAACTAGGATAATGCATCGTTAATGTATATTGGACGGTATCCTCATATTCTAGATGATCATCTTAGTATTAGGAAAAATATTAAAGTGGTTTGGAAAAGGATTTTACATCATACATGCATTGAAAACAAGGTTTTTGTGAAAAATGCATTGAAAAATAAGTTTTTGTGAAAACAATACATCTTAGATCGACACATACACGTTTAAGACAACCAACAAAAGTTTGGGCTTCAGTATATGTCGAAACATAGCCATTTTAGGTCGACGACACCCATGCATCAATAATAAAGTCTGTAGCCACTACCTTTAGGTTTTCTCACTTAGGTCGACTTAAGGACGACATAAGACCTCCATCGGTCGACCTGAGACATTCACATGCCGACCTGAGTACCTTGATAGACCGACACATACAGTTCCCATTGTCAAAAATTTTATTTTTCATCCATCCATTTGCATTCCTTTTGCTTCATATCTCTCATACATGTATATACATATACATGCATCATTTTCTTGCAAGGTCTAGTGTAAAACCTAAACGAAGCCAGAATTACAAAGTAAACTCATCATCTTCAACCTCTCTTCTATGCATACACTCAATGAAACTACAGATAATCATTTTTTGATTGGGTGACCATCTAGATTAGAGTTGATAATGTCCAATTAAGTTGGTGTAACCGAGAATGTTGGGTTGAGTTCTTTGTGTGTTTCAAATAAGAAAATCAAGCTGGGGTTTTTCTTCAAGATTATTGAGGATTAGAAGGTTTTGGACAAGATCATGCAAATACAGATTGATCAAGTGAAGGCCTTGGGACAAGGTAGGCGGTACCTTGAAAGGAGTAGCGTGAGACGGTGGATCGTGTTCATGAATCTTGGGTTCAAAAAGTGCATGCTTGGGATTAATCCGGACGAGCGAAAACCTTGAGACGAGAGGTCTTGCAAGGTAGTAACAAGAACTGGAGGATTGAAGTAGCATTGTTGGTGACTTGATCACTTTGATCAAGGGATTTAGAGGTGGTAGAATCAACAACAAATCATAGGGTTTGTAGGGTTAGAGTTCTTCATCTCTTGTATATACATTGTTTGCAAAGTAAGTGTAATTGCTACTATCTCAATTCGAATTCAAATTGAGGGCAGATGTACCCATAGCAAGGCCGATTGGGGAACTGCCTAAACAAATTCTTGTCTGTGTGTGTGTGTATACATATATAATCTTTATTTTTGAAATTTATCAAATCTTTTTTGTTTTGATCAATTTGTTTGGAAATCAACTTTTTGATTACGTTTTGAATTACAGTTTTTTGATTTAATCATAATCACTTTGAATGTGATTGGCTTTAACATCAACAAATAAAATTAAATTTCCAAATGTCACTGATTACACAGAAGTCGTTTGATAAATTATAACTATTACTTTTAAAATTGGTTTTTGATCATTGGAAATAAGCTACACGCGTAGCTTAGAATTTAATTGGGTTGTGATTAATTGTTGTTGAATAATTTGTATTGATTATCATTCAATTGTGTAACTTTACACTTATCCGAGTTTTTTGATAGTAGGTTCGGTTAGACGATTTGATTCGTGTTGTTTCTGTTGTGCCATAAAACTTTTGAAAAACATTTTTACCAAAAGTTCATTTTTTAAATTTGTGATCTATTCACCCCATATAGATCAAATCCTATCGTCTAGCAAGTGGTATCATGAGCTCTAGTTAATTCTATGCTTAAGATTTACTTTTTAGAAGAATGACTATCGAACCTAAGGGAGCATACAATAGAGCACCAATTTTCACTGGCGAAAATTATGGCTCTTGGAAAGCTTGGATGCCTATTCATGTCAACTCCGTTGACAAAGGTATATGGGACGCCATTCAAAATGGTCCAAATGAAATAATCGTGACCAATGATGAAGGTGTTACATTACCTAAACCGGAAGCACAATGGGATGCTAATGATTGGAAATTGTGGTCACATGATTGAACAACGAAAATATTCTCAGATCCACTTTAGGTGTTGATGATTATTATCACGTTTCTCATTGTGACACCGCCAAGGCTATGTCGGAGGCATTAAAGGTTACCCATGAGGGTATTAATGATGTCAAACAAGTTATGATCAACATGTTAAATCAAGAGTTTGGGCGATTAAATATGCTAGGTAAGCCTATTTCCAATGAGATTGCTACTAACAAAGTTTTGAAAGGTCTAAGTAGGGAATGACAACCCAAGGTCATCGCTATCAAAGAAGCAAATGATCTTAAAGTGCTTGATCTCATAACTTTATTCGGTAAATTAAAAGAGCATGAGCAAGAATTCACTTGCTTAGCAAAATATGAAAAAGAGCAAGAATTCACTTGCTTAGCAAAATATGAAAAAGAGCAAGAAAAGAAGGTGAAGAAGGAGAAAGAAAAGAAAAGGAAGAAGTGAAGAATTAAATAGCTTTAAAGACTTTTAGCTCAAATTCCTCACATTATGAGCTATGTGATAGTGAAAGTGAAGATGTTAATGATTCCTATGATGAGGATATGGGGTTGTTTGTCAAAAGATAATAAAGGTATATTAGGAGGAATGGAGTTTGACACTCTGACAAGAGCATATCCAAATTTAGAAGGTTAACAAACTCCCCAAAGGATGATAAGGATAGGAAGAGTAAGCTTAAAAGATATTGTTATCATTATCGTGAAGTTGGTCACTATAGACCAGAATGTCCTATGAGGAAGAAAGACAAAGAAAAGAGTCATCACAAGAAATTGAATAAATATGGAAGAGCTTACGATGCTTGGGAGAAAGCAAGTGACTCTTCTAGTGATGAAAGCACAACTTCAAGTGTTGGATCCGCTTGAATTTTCCTTATGGAAAATAGAAAGAAAAAGAAAAATATAAGTTTCTCTAAGATTGAATATATTAATGATTTATGCTATTTCCAATTACAAAACGCCTTTGAAAATCTTCATAGAGATACCTTAAGAGCTCTTAACAAGTTAGTTTGACATGAAAAAGTCATTTTAAATTTGGAAGCTAAAGTGTTAGAATCTGAAAGGTAATTTGAATCTATTAAGAAATCTATGATAGATTTTAGAAGTGGCAAGAATGAGGATATAAAACCTCCTAGGTTTGGTTGTGAACATTGTCATAATAGACAAGAGGAA